TGTGCAAAAGAGCTTAATGTGCAAAAATTACAGTATGAGGTAGAATGTCAAGAAATATTAAATGCGCATTTGTGCAAATGAAGGAGATGTGCAAAAGAGCTTAATGTGCAAAAATTACAGTATGAGGTAGAATGTCAAGAAATATTAAATGCGCATTTGTGCAAATGAAGGAGATGTGCAAAAGAGCTTAATATGCAAAAATTACAGTGTGAGGTAAGTGATGATGTCCATTAATCATATTCCTGTAGGCTGTTAAGGAGTCTGATGGTAGTGGGGGAGAAGGAGTTAAGTTGGGAAGTTCTAGATTTCACACTTCTGTACCTCTGTCCTGAGGGCAGAAGTGTGAACAGTCTGTGTTGGGGGTGTGTGGGGTCTTTGAGGATGGAGGCAGCTCTCCTCTGGACTCTGCGGTGGTAGCTGCTCTCCAAAGAGGGCAGTGGAGTGCTGATGATCTTCTCCGCAGTCTTCACCACTCTCTGCAGGCGTTTACAGTCCATAGCTGTAGCTCTGCCGTACCACGCGGTCATGCAGCTGGCCAGTGTGCTCTCCACGATGCAGCTGTAGAAGTTGCTGAGGATCTTGGGTGACATCCAGACCTGACTACAGGTTTAAGTGTGGGTATGGAGTATTTGGTCTGATTGAGGATTCTGGGGGTAGATTAATTGGTCTGATCCAGGGTTTGATTGTGGGGGTTGATTATTTGGTCTGATTACGGCTTGGTTGTTTGGAGTTGATTATTTGTTCTGACTATGGTTTGATTGTGGGGAGTTGGTTATTTGGTCTCATTAGGGGTTTGATTACATGTTTGATTATTTAGTCTGATTATGGTTTGATTGAGGGATTGATTATTTAGTTTGATTAGGGGTTTGATTATGGGGTTTCATTAGTCTGGTTAGGGTTTGGTAACGGGTTTCGGTTATTTATTCTGATTACAGTTTGATTGTGGGGGTTGATCAGTCTGATTAAGGGGTTGATTATGGGGTTCGATTATTTAGTCTGATTACGGTTTGATAACTGGGTTTCGATTATTTAGTCTGATTACGGTTTGATTGTGGGGGTTGTTTTTTTTTTGTCTGATTAGGGGTTTGATTATGGGGTTTATTTACAGCTTAACACGGACCATGGCCCAGGTTTCAACCATATAAAATGAATCCCTTCTGTTTCTAGCTATTATTTACCTTCATTGAGGAGTGTGAGTGCTAAGCATGGACTTGGGAAACTGCAGAGATAGTAAACCGCTTCCTTGTTAAACTCGCTGGTTCGAACAGATTAAACGAATGAACACGAAGCAGCTCCGGTCGCTCGTTTTTTACTACCATCGCTTTAGTGGTTCAAACCAATTTGCTGTTAAGGCTGAAAGATCTGGTCAATTATGTTTTCAGGATAAGTGATATAATTTTGTGAGCTTTTAATAAATTGTGCTGGGCTTGGACAATAGAGTGCAATTCACTAAGTACAGTCCGCTTCTCAGAGAAATGTATGTGTGAGTCCTTGTGCGCAGTCTGTTGCATCGTCTCTGGTGTCGGTTCATTGAATATTGTTGATCGTATGGATCTTGGCATTGATATATTGGTCACATGTACAAAATACATAGTAAAGATCACAAAGTACAATTCTATAGTCATTCTAGTCACGACAAGCGTTCAAACAGCGCTCCATTAATTCTCAAGCTTAATAAATATATTTTTATTTGTTATTATTTCGATCCCTAAGCCAGCCGGTATGATCATAAATGTATGTTACTGGTAAGATCAGCCATGATCGCCAGAATTTACACTTACCCGCTTGGACCCGAGAAACGCCAATACAGCCGAGAATCAAGAGCGCGGCGGAAGACGGGAAAAATCTCTCCATAGCAGAACCTGAAATCCCATTTACTGTACTTCGACAGGCAGTGTAGAGACCGAGCCCGAGTGATACTTCCGCGTAAAGCGCGTTTCAGCACTCGGGACAGCGTCCCTCATGCACGGCGGCCGCTTCACCTGGATTCTTGCTGTCCGCAGTGGGCTGCGCCGCCGGACCGTTTACGAAGACAGAGTCGAAATGTTGCAGGATGAGACGGGCTCTGCAAACGCAGCCCATTCATCCGGACGCGCTTAGTCACAGTGCGAGGATGACGGCGACACGGCGAGCTGCGGACCGGAGAGCTGGTCGCTATACGCAAACACATGCACACGCGCACACTCACGCACGGCTGTTTACCAACACAGTCTGCAGGCAGGGCGCTCCGAACTGCGGAGACCGATGTCAGTGACTGCCGTCTCACGCCAGGATGCTTGCTTTCATTTTGCATTTAGATACAGCCGTCGTGTAATAAACCGTCTCTTCTTTAAAAAAATCCTCTTTGCAGTCCCTGTCAAATTCAGTAACATGAATGTCTCTCTTGTGTTCAGCGATTGGAGACGGCTGCGCTGTACAGTTAATGGTAACTTACTGAAGAGTTGCTTATGCTGCTTGCAGTTACTTGCAGTTTAAACTTCACCAACTTACACCTCTGTTCTTTTTTCTCAACTTAGAGCTCTGTTTTGCGCGTTCCTGTTGTATTGCCTGTATTGAACAGCACTGGGATTATTTAAAGGTTGTGAATTTGCGCGTTCGTGTTGTTGTACTGCCTGTACTAAACAGCACTGAGATTAAAGGTTGTGAATCGGTTTTCGGCTCCTGCTGCCCCTTCATAATTACTGTGACACCCCGTGTGCCGCTGAGATGGAGACTACCTTCACAACCCTAATTACAGGCAACTTTTAACTAAGATAAATAAATTAAGAGTATTTTCCTTATATAAAATTGCCCCAGCTTCCAGTGTGTTAAAGGCATAATAGGAACGTCATGTCGCTCTTACCTTAATCTTTCCCTCCGTGGGTAAATCCCGGGACGCCTGCCGGCGCACTGCTGCTGTCCTGCGCCGCCGACTGTCCCTAAACCCCCAGGGGTCCCGGTGGCAGCGTGACATCATCTATTATTCAGTCTTTGCTCGGCATTAGGGCGCCTCGTGGTGACGTGCGCCTGCTCCTGCGTTTGGACGGAGAAAGCGAAAGCGCACCGTCCCCAGGCTTCTGCTTGGTATGATCACTCACACTCAGAAATTTTTACTATTTTGCTGAGATAAATTTGCGTAAATAGTTAAAGGACGCGCAAACTGCAGAAAGCCGCTGAGATCTCTTTTATAACTCTGCTTATTAGTTTGGTTCTCCGAGCCATAAAGTAGCTCTGTTAAATGAAAAGCATGATTTAACCACAGTTTAATGGTCTTCTTTGGGAACAAAGGCATAAAAATAATGATCCACAATTTTTATCAGCCCTCCCCCCAATCGAAAACATTTACCTTTGCCCGTAGCTTTGCACCCCCCTGGACTCTGGGGATGGAACAGACCCGATGAAATCTGCCATAATGTTTAGCTGCAGTCTTAAATTGCTCTCTGGATCATATGTCAGACCACAGCAGATGGCATTATAGGTTGATTCCCACCTTACCAGGGGTGCTGGGTGGGGTTGGAGTCAGCACCCACCTCACCGGCGGTGTGTGGACTGATTTACACCTTGGCTGCTGCTGTTATGGCTTCCAGAGTCACTAAAATGAAATGCTGGGGTGGAGATGTGGGAGCTTCACTGTGAGCTTCTGAAGTAGATTGGATGGGATTTAAGCAGCCCATCAGACTTATGTGGCTCCTAGCTATGGGCTAACAGCTACAGGTTCACAACTACAGGCTTACAAGTACAAGCTCGCAGCTAAGGGCTCCCAGCTACAGGCTCACAATTACAGGCTTACAGCTACAGGNGCTCCCAGCTACAGGCTCACAATTACAGGCTTACAGCTACAGGTTCACAACTACAGGCTTACAAGTACAAGCTCGCAGCTAAGGGCTCCCAGCTATAGGCTCACAATTACAGGCTTACAGCTACAGGCTCCCAGCTACAGGTTCACAACTACAAACTCGCAGCTAAGGGCTCCCAGCTACAGGCTCACAATTACAGGCTTACAGCTACAGGCTCCCAGCTACAGGTTCACAACTATAGGCTTACAACTACAAGCTGGCAGCTAAGGGCTCCCAGATATAGGCTCACAATTACAGGCTTACAGCTACAGGCTCCCAGCTACAGGTTCACAACTACAAGCTCGCAGTTAAGGGCTCCCAGCTAAAGGTTCACAACTACAGGCTTACAACTACAAGCTCGCAGCTAAGGGCTCCCAGCTACAGGCTCACAATTCTAAGGGCTCCCAGCTACAGGCTCACAATTACAGGCTCGCAGCTATGGGCTCACAGCTATAGGTTCACAACCACAGCCTTACAGCTATGGGCAGACAGCTATGGGTGGGTCTGGGTGAGTCTCAGTGGGTCTGGGTGAGTCTCAGGGGTTCTCTCTAATTCTCAGTAGGTCTGTATGAGTTTCGGTGGCTTTCTGCTGCTCCAACTAATTTCTGTTCACCCTGTTTGTTGTTATCTGCAGATCTCAGCAGGCCCTCATGAACTTTAACCTGGAAACCATCTGGCACAACCAGCCTGAAACTATGCATGTGTGGGGGGAGGAGGTTAAAGCTGCATTCAGCCCGATGTCGCAATGTCACCAGGAACCTTCTGTTCAGAAACAGCTGATGATCAGCATTCGCTGGCAGCTGAATATTCATGGAGTTCCTGCTGTTCTGTGGTGACGGAGGAGGTACAGAACACACGCCTCTTCCTGTTTGTGTCCTTCAAACTGCGATGTGTGACAGGGTGACCCGAAAGGCGCAGTGGGTGTCCTCTTAGGCAGGAGCCGGTGATCGCCAGTAATCAGGCTCCTCCTTTACTGGCCCCAATCTGGGAGCCCCGGTGAAGTCGCCACCGTTTACTGGCTCCAACCTGGGGCCCCACGAAGATGCTGCCATTTACTGGCCCCAGCCGGGGGCCCCAGCGAAGATGCAGTTTACTGGATTCTTCTTCAGCGAAAGTGATTTATAAGGTCACTGCCTAAAATAGCAGTAGATATGATGGGGGGTTGGTACTTAATCACGAAGGCTGTTACATTTAGAGGACTTTTATTTTGGGTGAGAGCGATGATAAGGTGTGAGATTTATAGGAAACAGGTAAAACAGAAAGTGTTTCATTTTATGGCTGGTGTGTGTGTGTGTGTGTGTGTTTCTTAGACGGTGGGTAGAGGGCTGCTGGCCCCTGTTTGATGTGTCTTATCTGTGTCCCCTGCCCTGTTCTGTGTGTGTCAGCCTCAAATCCTGGAGACAGTTGGCATGGTGACCAGATGTCCTTCATTACTCAGGTTCTCTCTCATTCTGCACTGCGTGTGGGAAATATGATGGCGGCGAGCATCCAGCATGGGGGAGGGGGGCACAATTATCCTTGTGTTACTGGATGTTTCCAGACTGGGGGAGGTGTGTGTTGTATGGGAGGG